GTAAATATTCTCCAATGGCAAGCCACAGGCTCTTGATCAGGGTCTGTGGTGTCAGTTTGTGAATGGACATGTGGATAGGAATTACTAGGCAATAATCTTTTGTACTCTCTGTGGATGACAGGTGTATAATTTCTATGCTCACCTTCTACTCTGGCCTTTGGAGATGGGATCTTTATTTGCATGAGATGTTTTCATTAGTGGGAAGAATTTTGGAAACTGCATCACAGGATATTATAGTGATGCTGCCCCAGGAGAAGTAGGAAAACAAGTCTGTCACTGTCGTGATAACAAGATAACGTTTCTGGAAAGTAAGGGCAACCTATGTGCAGGAGAATGATTATCCACTGCCTTTTGAGGAGAGTTATCCAGAGTCATGGGAGGTTCAAGTTCACATACAGTTCCTATGGTAGTTGCCATTTTTCATCTTTGAATTCAGTCTAAGTGAATGCATATTTATTACAGGAATTCAAATCCACTTAATGCACTTAATTCACCCTGACCAGTTTCACGAGAGAGACGGGGAATCTTTGGGCTAATAATCCGCCCTGGTCCCTGAGAACAGTTGCAGCTGTTTCCTGCGTTTCATGCAGAGGAATTGTGATCCATGCTGTAAAATTACTCCCTCGCCCACATGCTGAAGACTGCAGTTGTATTTTGCATATATCTGCTAACACCCTACAGGCTGATGGGTGGCTCTCTCTTTGGTAAGGTGTTAATTCCCTCTGCAGTCGTGTGCCTTTTAAGTGAGGAAGTCCATACCATTTTCTTGTGGCATTAGTTGTGATAGGTCAAAACTGGCACTGAAGTGTGTAAGCTTTATAAATACAATTAGCTTTTGTTATTCTAGGGAAGTAGAGGTTCCTGGACCTAGAAGTCCTTAAAGTTACCCAGAAAATGCCAGAGTAGAATCTAGGAGATCAAAGGAAGCTACAGCTCTTTGTTCATTTCTGCCAGCTCAGGTGATTGTGAGCTGATTCTGGCCATTGGTTTGTCGCTGTTTTGTTTCTTTTACTATTGCTACTAGAACTATAATATGATGCCTTTACAATCTGAATTTGAATACTGTCCCATGACTGTATCCTTAGTGTTCCTGTAATGATATGTGTGAGACTTAAAATGTTTTTAGGAAGAACCTAAAGTATATTTGGAAAATGTTTCTGAGGAGATGGTGGTTGTTACTGTCACAATTGATTTTTGCCCTGTAGAAATATTTGAGACTTCTACAGCTTTTGGCCATTCAATTTTGGAATGCAAATAGGATTTTTAATTCAAACTCTCTCTCCCTTCCAGTGAAAAAAGTGAGAAAATCCGGGAGCTGTGGGAAGAAGGAAAGAGGAGGCTGTAGTTCTGCAGTATGCTGAGAATGACTGTAGGGGCTTCCTGAGTTGGATCAGAAACATTGTGGCCTTACAGTGATTTGAGTCAATATATAATGCCTGTTGAGATTTGTTAGAAACACTGCTGTGCTGATGTTCTGTGCTGCTAGCCTTGACTCCTGACCAGGTGCTGTCCATTTGCTTTAGAAGCTTTTTGGTGCCCCTCTGACAGCTGTCCACGTGCCCTTTTGTCACCTCTGTCTCCTGGCCTGCTCCAAAATACCCGCAGGTCACTGGTAGAATGCCACTTGCCTGCATTGAAAAGCATGTTTCCAACTCGCCCTCATTTTCTTTTTAGACGTTTACTGTGCCTGGACCTTCCTTTCCGTGCCATTCCTTTCCTCTGTGGGGATAGAGGGGATTGTCCCAGTCATAAGGACAATCACAATATGCTTGGGATAGTGGTTCACCTCCCAGAATCTGGGCTTTTTGAGTTCCTTGCAGTTCTCCAGAGATACTAGGGGTTGAGGGAAAAAAAAACTTTCATGAGGACTGGTCAAAATGATTCTCTGTCCTGTAGCCTTTCACTGTTTTGGGCATATTTCCAGCTGTGTTCTGCTGACATAACAGACCAGCACTTCACGTCTTGCTGCTCCTGGGCCTTCCATTGCTGTACATACAGCAATGTATGTACATACAGTGGTTGCTTTTGTTCAGTTTTGGAGACAAAAATGCAAGCTTCCATTTTCTTTCTTAGAAAATGCCAAATGTGCCTGAAATTAGTCAGCAGAGGATACAGGTATGTGCCTCAGCCAAATATATGACCTGTATCCTGCAGACATGGCAGTGGGAAAGTCTGTTGATTCATTGTCACGCAGATAGGTAAAATAAATATGTAATGTCCAGAACAAATGGACTGTTTTGCAGCTTTCAGACAGCAATCACATATATTGTCAGCCTATATACAGATGTATAGATACAGACTGTAACTAGAGCCTAATGATAATGAGAACATCTGGAAGCATCTGGAAAATGTTGCCTCCCCTGTTGCAAACCTCTACTGTATATTTGGCCTTTCATTGTCTTGTGCAGATTCAGTACTGGAGTACTATTTAGTAGTTGCCAAAAATCAAGTTCAGTTAGAGCAGCTCTGGTGAGCAGGAGGATCAGAAGGACTCCAGCCAAGTTTGGGACTACATGGTTGTGATGGTTTTGGCAATTAGCCAGTTGCCCTTAGTGTGGTGTTTGAGTTTCTCCTTTTTTACAGCTTCACACAGTTGGTGTCCTGATTATGTTTTGGAGTGTATATTTTTGAGTTCCCATGCTACTGCTCTCTTCAGACCTTGAGCTTCTTTTTCAGTGCAGTCTAAGAACCAACCTGGCTGTGTAATCCCCTGGAGCTAGAGAACAAGCAGAAGTAGCTTGACTTGGAGTTAGTTACACCCATACACAATCTAGGTGTGTCCGGGGGTGTCTGCTTTACTACTCCTGCTTTCCCTCATCCTCCGTGCATGTATACATACAGATGGTGCAACCAATGAAAGTTCCAGCAAGCAACTGTAAGAGTTCCAGAAAGCAGTGAAGGTACAGAGTTCTTAATTTCTGACAGTCTTGTGAGGTCTCTGGAAGATGCTGGCAATGATGCAGATGTGGCTGGAGATGCAGGTCCATAACTATCAAAGCCTGTCTCTTGTTCCTCTTCTAGGCATGGTATTGGTTGCAGCAGACACACAAGATCATGCAGTGGAATCATAGGCAAGACTTAAGACTGATCCCAGGGGACTTAAATCCTGTCTTCAGATAGCTAAGGTTCACCTGTAGCCATGAGACACTGGGGATTATATGTCTGTCTGTCTGTATTTCCCCATTATAGCTTCCTGCTCTCACTACCATATTCTCATTTATAGCCACAACTCAGTTATAGGCAGTGACTGCCATTCTGACTTGTTGTCCAGCCTGTGTCTGTCATCACCTCAGCCTTTTCTTTGACAGAGGTGTGAAGTCACATTTTCAGAACACATGATCACGTATGTATATTTTAGCACGCGTGAGCAGTGTTTGCAGGGTGAGGGCATCATGCCACCACTTTTGTGCTGGTCAGCTGCTTCCAGCAAAGCTGAGCTTTCTGCTGAGACCTTGCAGGTGCTGTGGAGTAGGTTGGCTCACCCACCACCAGGATGCTGTCACCTCACAGCTCTGGATCCATGGAGTTTAATGCTATCCCACTTTCCTCCACTTCATTTCACACTTTATTACTTGGAGTCAAATACAGCTGTCAAGTTTTATGGTAGAATTTTAGAAAAATGCTGAGGGAAGTGTCGTAGGTCACACATATAAAGTATTGATGAGTGGAAGCTCTTGCTCTGCAGACTTGCTTTAAGTAGGGTTAGGTTAAGTATTGTTCGAAATTCCATTAGCTGCAAGTTTGTTGTCAGTGCCTGCCAGTTGTGGAACTGAACAAGTGGGGATGGCAGCAAGCACTCAGCAAAGGAAACAAAAGATACCTCTATCAGGCTAGGAAGAACTGAATTTCTGATGCATGCAAGCAAGCAAAAATGCCATTTTCTTTCCCACTCAGTTTTTTGCTCATCTTTTTGCTTTTCTTTGTGCTGTGCTCAAACTTTCTAATTGTAGGCCAATTTTAGAAGCTATATTGGTTTTGAAATAGTGTATTACTCCAATGTAAACATTTTTCCTATCCGTTACAGGAGTATTAAGGTTGGAATAATGAGTACTTCCCTTCCTGTGTGCTAGTAGATGATTTTTCAACATAATTTGATTTTGCCTAAAGTTTAATGTGTATAACAATGGATACCTGATCATGTATTCATATCTCAGTACCCTGGAGACAAGTTTCATGCTGACCATTCAAATGAGTATTATCATGCAAGTACTAACAAGCCTGACTGGGAATAAGTAAGTTGCATGTGGGCGTGAGAACCAGAATGATTCTGATAAATTCCCACGTTACAGCCTAAGTGCTTGATTCAATTCAGTACTTACTTTAATGGGAGCAAGGTGATCTAAGAGGAATTCTTCTTGGTTGTTTTGCCTCATGGAAACTATACAAAACCTGCTTGTAGTAATGGTAATTTACTGGAGTGGTGTTAAGGGACATAAGCCAAATTTAATAGCCAGAAACATTATTTTGTCTTCATTTCATTGAGGGTGTTCTCAAAACCATAGAGACATTCCAGAGCCATATGATAAACTTTTGTATTGATATGATAGACTGCTGCCTTGTCATTTTCCTTATCTGTATAGAGTCATGCATACCCATGTGATGGTTTACTTATGTATGGAGAAGATTATGAAATATTTTCCATCTCTGTTGCCTCTGGTATCTTCAGGCCATGTATCTAGTTCCAATCTTGGTGAAGACAATTAGCCCCTAGGCAAGCCAAACTGGGGTTATTTTATTTTAAAATACACTTTAAAAACTTACAGTTGTTCATACGGTATCTTTAATGCTCTTTGCTCCTCTTTTTCTTTAACCTAGCTTTGTGCTTGCTGGAACCTTAAAAGTGTAAAACAAGTGTTTGGAAGCAATAGAATATCTTCCTTACATTTTGTGGTTCCATAAAAATGACATCAATAAAAATTTAGTCTCTGTGCCTTGAAACTATGTGATGATTTTACTGTGATGTGTGCTTTTATTGTTGTTGGTGTTTTTCTCTGTTTCAGGCCAAACAAACCAAGTGGCCAAGGAGGCAGCCAACAGATGGACTGGTGTGTATTGCAGTGACACAGCTTCTCACTACAGCAGTTTCAGTAAAAGACCTACTCAGTGTTAAGAACTTTAAATTTGATTAGGATTTGACATAGGATAGTCCTCACTTACAAAAACATGGAGAAATTTATTTTACTTATAAAACTATTATGATTCAACAAAAAGAATAAATCTTCTCTGTTTAGTTACTGAATATACTTCATATGCCATAACAGATTTGTCCTTCTGGTGCTGTCATGTGCACTGTGTTAAATCCTGCAACTTGTTTCCTTGGATGAGTTAAAATCTCTTAAGATGAGGAACGCAATAGAGACTGAAATGGTGATGCCCAGGTATTCAGAAAGTTTAATTCTGTTCTGAATGTTCATTTCTTCCTAAAAGTAGAATGTTTTGTGGAATCTTGTTGCTGCTACCATGTGATGGATGCTGATACAAAGTAGATATTTCTCAAACTAATTATCAGTTTTGACAGGTAAAATGATGCATAGTTTTAAGGAATGCCAGTGTAATGAAATTCGTGTTGAAGTTTAACCCAGTTTTCTGTTGTTGCTTAACTTTGCTGTACTCATTCCCATTTTGCAAAGCAAACAATTTATATGTACTTATGGTTTTTTAAGATTATTTAGAATATTGTTTATAATTTTTTGTCTAGAATAGGTGACCTACTGACGGACTGCTTGCTGTCATTGGTTGTGCCAAGTGCAGCAGGATATCATTGTCTTAGTCTTTGGACTATTATTTTATATCTGGGTTGTTTATTGCATATGGAGAAATAAAATTATGTATTCTGGGAGTTGTCAGGGCTTTCTGCTGTTGGTGACAGGCTGTTCTCAAGGCCTCAAATGAGGTAAAAGAACTGTGCCACAGCCTGTAGAAAGTACTTTGCTATTTAATTAGACAATTTGGTTATATGCTGCAGCATATTTTTCTTTTGAAGAGAAAGTTTTAAAACCAAATGTATGATGGTTAAAGAAAAGAAAAAATATCTCTAAGCTGTGCAGAGACAGGGAACACTTCCTCCCTTAAGGAATGCTGCAATTTATGGGTGTTAAAAATGACGTAATGAGTTTCAGTAAATGCTGCAGTGAAAAATTACTTTACATTGAACAAAATGTATATGTTAATGTGATGCTAAAAAGAGAAGTCCTGACTAAAATAAAACTTCTTGAATGTCTTTTTTTTTAACTTTCAAAAAATACAGTGTGTGAACAAACACGCAGGACTAGAAAGGACCTTACAGTAAATTTAAATCCAATTTTTATAGCTGTAGACAGTCACATAGTAGGTGTCTAGTTGAAGAAGGACCTATAAAATACTTACTATGCATATTCACACTTACCTCATCACTATAGCAGGCTTACACTGTAATCGTAGCTTTTAGTCTCCTTGTAAAAGAGGAGCAAGGAAAGATAAAGATAACATATTTTTATTTGGTGCTAAGTCAATTATTTCCTCTTTTTTGAAGGTTATTAACAAAAACCTCATGTTTTCTGTTCTAAATCTACTTGATAATGATGTTCCCCACTATGTACCTTTTTCATATCGACAAGAGGTACTGCAAATGGAAGGATTTTGTTGTAGCCAAGACCGTAAATCATGCTTTCCTAAATACTCAAAATGAATGTTTTTCATTCTGTTTACAGATAACATCTTTTCAATAAAGTCCTGGGCCAAGCGTAAATTTGGATTTGAAGAGAGCAGAATAGATAAAGGTTTTGGAATCCCAGAAGATTTGGATTACATTGATTAGTGTTCAGTTGATGGCTGACACAGTTGTATATAGTTTGTTATATATTCATACCTGCCATTAAAATGTGAATCCTCTCCAAAAAGATGGTCGCCCTTTAATTTGCTGGTTTTGTTAAAGTTAATAAAATACTAAAAATATTTGTTGCCCTTTTTTTTCTTGTACTCTGTAGATAGTAAATCTCATTGCTTTTTCTGTGAGACAGGCTTAGCATGGATGGAGGTTATAGGGAATAATTATTACAAAGTCTTGAGACTGGATTTAACTCTTCCTTTGCTTAACTGGAATTAGTAAGTACTAAGAGCTAGAAGCTCCAGGAATTTATGTTTAAACTTGCTGAAAGCTTTGGAGTGGGAATAACTGGGAACAATATGGAGTAGGATGAATTTTTCCCTTGACACTCACCAATGAAATAGAAAAGAGGCATAATCCATTGATGGAAAACAGTGAGACAGTAAGGAGGTGAGTAGAAAGGCTGAGGTCTGGTTTCTGGTAATTTTTTGTTGTGTTGCTAGAACTGCTTGTAAGTTTAGTGATGAAATTATATTTGTTGTTGGAAAATACTAGTGCAACAGAGCTGAATCAGTTCCAGAAAATGTATTGGATTTCATGCTAAGAAAGCTGATCTGGTCAAGAGTGTATCTGCATAGAAGGGGGAGCAAAGAGCACCCATCCCTTCACACCATTGTGCACCAAGATTTAGGATGTTTATCTGGCATGTGAGAGAGTGAACTCAATTTACTGTCAAAAACTGAGCATTTTTGGGTTTATGCCCATTTTTCAATTTCAGGTTAAAAGCACAGCCAGCCAAAATAATAACAGATTAGGAGCACCTCATTTTTTTTGGTGAAGTTTCTGAAGCACCTCAGTTTGTATCAGCTTCTGGTTTCTAGTTCTGATCAGTGCATGGCTGCAGCAAGAGAGGTGGACAGTGGAGACTGGTGTTTACCTTCCACAGCTGTGGATTGCAGGATCTGCTGTATGGCTCTGGAGGATTTAAGCTTTACCTTTAGGAGGTAGGTGGGCCTGCTGCAAGCTATCACTGAAAAGTGTCTTGTCTGCCTTTTATGTAACATCTGATGAGAGAGCTTTGCTGAAATGTGGCATTTATCTGGAAATGTGCCCAGAAATCTGTCTCCTGTGACCTTTCCAATTAAAAAGTTTCCTAGCAGTTCAGTACATGTTAAAATGCAAGGATTTCAGGTATGCCCCTGGCTGTTTTCATCTCATGTCTATGAGGACAGCAAAGTTACTGGGAAGATAACGGGTGGAAGATTCCCTCTCAGAGAGATAGCATAGCAAGATATCCATTGCCTAAGGAAAATGTATGGGATGTCTGGCACATAGGAAGATGTCATTAAGCTTAAAATTGCAATGGAGATGTTTCCTTTTATGTGTTTAGAAGGACTTTATTCCTAAAATGTCCAGTACTGAACATTGAGTATAGCTGCTGACTGGTAAAGGCGTAAGGGTAGTACGTGGTGCTGAGCTGAGGGCAGTGTTGGAGTGTTCCTGAGCAGGCCTGGCTTTTGCCCCAGGAAGGGGGTGCTGTGCAGCAAAGCTCCCTGTGGTGCCAAACTGAGCTACTGAGGCACCTGGAGCTTGGGTGGTTGGGTTGCTCTTTGGATTTTGTGAAACAGTAGAGGCTGAGGGCAGGCTTTTTTGGTTCTTTGTAGGAGATCTCTCTCAAGTGAGTCTTTTTTTGGTTTTGCTAAACGTTTGGAGTGACTATTGTGTGCCACCTAACAGGTGTGAGAAGTTCCTTGGCACATCTGTGTTCAAGAGCACGTAACTGCCATACAGTAGAGATGATGATGACGTCTCAAAAGGCTTGTTTGTATGAAGGAGCATTAACTTACTGATGGTTTTTGCCTGTTAGAATCACTTTCATGTGGCTGACCTTCTACTTGTTAAGGAGCCTCTGGTAAATTTATGGTCCGCAGCAGCTCGTGCACCAAGGCTTCCTCTGGTACCTGTGGGATTGAGGGTTTCTTACTGACTTCGCTGCTTTGGCTACTTTCCAAATTCAAGAGGGAAACTAAGATGACCAGCTATGTAAGTTTAGCTGCAATATTGTGGCTTCCTGTCTGTAGGGTAAAAGCATTGTGGATTGTAGCAAAACCTTTAAATATAATAACTATCATCTAAATAACTGTACTTGAGGTAGATTTGCCCAGAGATACTACAGTCAGCCAGAATGAGCTGGCTTTAAAAATGTCAAACACAGCCATTATACTTTGAACACAAAACTTAGGTAGTTCAGTTTCAGGGAATTGAACAGCAATGTAATTTTCTAGCAATGAAATTTTCTCTAGAGTTTTGGTTTTGTTTTACAGGTACAGAACAGACATAGACATACCATTGCACTTTATTTTCTGTTCTGTCCCCTGGTGTTCATTAGCAAACCTGGGGGGAGAATATGTCTGCTTTTGTAAGGACACAATTTTAGAACAGTCAGAACAGAAATTTCTCAGCTAAACAGAAGAATGGAAGAGGTGACGTGTTACCAGAAACTGATTCTTACTCCTCTAGTGGAATAGATTTATTTTGTGCTATCTTTTTATGATTCTGGATTTTTAGCATAGGTCAATTTCAACAGGAAAGGCAAAGTCAGATCCTTTCTGAGAGAAAAAGAGACAATTTGTGTATCTTGTATGTTCCAAGATACTTTGAGCCTGCTGCATCTGCTCACTTTTGGAAGCTTTTCTTCTTAAAAAGATATACAGCAGACTGCTAAATCCCACAATATGAAACCATGTTGGATTGTGTGGTTTGAGATGTGTGTTCACTTCAGTTTTTAGGAGAAGCTGGGACTTTGGTCTTCTGCTGAGTTAAAAGTCAGTAACAGTTAAAATTATTTTCTTTCTGAGAAATTTTTTGCTATTAGCCTATAGCAGAAATGAAAACACTCAAGCTGATTTTTGTCCCAATTTTTATTTTCAGAGTTTTCTTGAGATAGAATCTGAAGTATTTCTAAAGAATCTAACAAGAAAACAATGGAGTTTAAGTGCTTACTTCTACTGTTATTCTTGTGGTTATGTCACAGCTATTTTATGTATGTCTTCCTCTTTTCTCTTGTGCCCTATAGGGTTTTTTGCCCATGTAAGGTAAATGTTTTCAACTGTTATAGCTAAGTCAGCAGGTCAGGCCCTTACTACAATTCAGATTTATAATTAAAGCAGTTACTGGTGCAATGAGTGAAAATCAAACCTGTTTTCAGCTGAGTCTCTTGCTCTGAACAATACCAGGAACAGTATCAGGTCCAGATTTTCAAAATCTCATTAAGAGTTTATCTTTACAGTACTAAGCTGAGGTGTTGGATAGGCCTGTTCTTTGGGACTGATGTTGATTGGCCACTGTGAAGTAAGATAGATGCAGGAGAAAATATTTAAGTCTACCTGATCTACTAGGAAACCTTAATTATTTAAAGAAATTTGCTGATTGTATTTGCCCTGAAACATCCATTCTTCCTTGTCTTTCAACTTGCCATCTGCATGCTCTGTACAACACCAAGCATCAGCTCTAGGACTCCCTTTATGGTACTTGCAGAGTGTTAAATGTTAACAGTCACAAAGGTTTAGGTTTTGACACAAGTCAGTTGCTAAGCCTTTCATTAATGCATCATGTAAAATGTCATTGCTGTTTGGGGGTGTATTAAAAGGGAAAATCCGGGCTCTGACACAAATGGCACAGTGATGCTGTAATCACGTGACAGAGGTGGAACCGAAACTTCTTGGGAGAATGAGGGGAAGAGAAACCCAGTTTGTAGTTTGTGATGGTGACTAAGAACTTCAATGCAAGAGCTCCTCAGAGAGTCCTTCTGTCACCCAGGCATATTTCCACCAGTCAGGTGATCTGGTTGGTGCTTATCTTCACCTTGTTTCTTTTAGAGGTGAGGTTTGTATGATCATACTTTTCTGTCATATATCTTCTCCTTTTCCCTTGTGCTGTTCTTAAATTACCCAGTGATTTCAGCTAAGTTTACTCTGAGGGGCCCTGGTACAAGCTCACAATTTATCTCTTCTGTTTGGCTGCCTGCCTGATAAATACAGGCTTTCCCTTTCCCACCTACCACTTTTGGGACCTGAGAAGGGGTAGAGCATGCTGGGGGTGGGAGGAGGAAGCAAAGATGTCAAAGATGGTGATGGAATATTATGTGAGGGTCTGGCAGCATTGCTGGGGCTGAGATGGGATGGTGTGTGCATCCTTTCAGTGGGAAGGAACAGGTGACTTCAACAAGTGAAATGCTCGACTGATCCTCAGTGTCACACACATGGCTGGGTTCTTCCATGATGGCAGCAGGTAACTGCCAGCTAGACACGGTTCCTGTATAAATATTCTTGTGCATAAGGAGTCTGCCTCCGCAGCAAGGACAGCCTTTCTCTTCAGCTTCTTTTTCTCCTTATCCCATTTGCGTTTTCCACCCCTCCACTGTCATTTCCCTTTTAGGTCTGCTTGTGGCAACCACGTAGGCTGAGCAAGCGAAGCACTGCAGTCTGTACAGATGGTTGTCTGTCTTACTCCTCCTCCTGCTGACACTGCTGTCAGCACACACACCTTCCAGTGTGCAGGCATACAGGAAGGGAAGCATCTATCTCTGTGTTAGACTTGTCTCTTTAAACTGCATGCACAGAAGGTTGCATGTCAAGAAGACCAGGGAGCAGAGATCTGTGAACACCACCACAAGCACCACTGAACTTCTCAGTGTCACTTCAGACTCTTTTATAACGCCTCACAAATGAATGGTTTTTATGCTATGTGGTGGTTGTACTTAACCTAGTTAGAAGAATTTTCCTTACCAAAAAAAGTTCCTGCTGAATTATTTATAAAGAACAGTTTTTAAGCAAAACCTGCTGGGCAATTTTCTGTTTCCAGTATTTGATGAAAACCCAAGTTATTTGGAGAAAGGATGAGCCTTTCCATATGAAAAGCTTAATTTTAAAATATACTCCATCCTTTTGTTTCAAAAAAACCTTACTGGTCTGGCAACCAGTGCTGAAGTAAATCCTGTAACCCGTCCAAGGGGCACCTTTTTTCAAGTGAGATGATGAACTTCTGCTGCCCTGCTGCTGAAGCTCAAAGGGAAAAGCTGTTTAAAATTATGACTTCTAGAGAAAGCTAGTGATGGAAGAGGTTGTGT